GTGGATCACTCTATATTACCAGAAGGTTTAAGAGCCTATCAATTGATTTATTGGACTTCTTGTCATCTGGTCTCAAATAATAGATGTTAGTTTTGTAGTTTTGGTTATATTTTGACACAACAACACCATGTCCTGTCTACCGTGGGGAATCCGGATGAGGGCAGTCTGTCCAAATGAAGGAGGATGGAGCATGCCACGAGCTGCCAGGCACCTTGGTGTCCATCCTTCCACAACTTACAGGCTTCAGGAACGTCATCAGTCGACCAACAGTGCAGGGATCGACAAGAAGCGGCCGACCGCGGGTGACGTCGGATAGACACGATCGGCACATAGTGATGTCACATCTACGCGATAAATTCCAACGTGCAACCGCAACTTCTATGGCTAACGCGTAACTCAACAGTGGATCGAACCCCGGACCTTCCGCTCTCCGGGAGGACGCTCTACCAGTACATCACGGAGGCGGTCGCTTTATACAGTGTTCCGTTATGTCACGGTGTCTCATATTGTCGTGTTAAGAAGGCCCTTGGAAAGTAGAGGTTTACCATTTTGGTTAAACCCACGAGCACGGGTATATTGACGACAAAATCGAACCGACGATCGTAGGTTTCTGGCACGACTAACAGGCTAAAGGAGAGCGAATTGCTGTGCCAATTCAGCAACCCGTGACCCTGACTAAATTGAGAATCGGGTGACAACAGTGTAACTGCCGTGTCATAGTACCCCTACGACGGATCCTTGCTCGTGCTATCAACCACTGGTTTTCCCAGCCCAGACTCAACTACGTATATGCCTCAGTGATGGCGATGGGTTTAACTGAGTGTCATGTAAAACAACATTCAACGCAACTACATTGACAGAAACATATGTTCCCTGTTTCAAAAGGCTCCATTTTACAGGTACTTTGAGCTGACAACCTACAAGTGGCTAAAAAGATTTAAATGTGTTTCATTTAATGTGCGATTTTGGTTTAACGCTGCTTTCAACCATATTTCAGCAGCGTATCTTAGAAGCCAAATGTGAAAGTCTAAACGCAGGCGGTGAAATCCACGACGACAATGCGTCAACACCAAAGAGAGGGTAAAGCTGGGATTCGAACCACGACCAGGAAATGGAGGGCTGCTTTATCTTTATTCAACGGTCTCGTTGAACACGACACTTGTATAAATACAGTTCATTCAGCAGTTAAAGTGTCGCAGTCATCTCGTGTTCATATTGCCATCATCTTAATACAGTTAAACCCTGACAATCAGGACATTTTCATTTCAACTGAATGTTTCAGTTACAAATATCCTTGGTAACGCGAGTGAATGAGTGTGGAATCGAACACAGGCTTTCGGCATGACGATTGAACGCTTTAACTGCTAGGCTACCCATGGATCTACACAATTACGATGTCATGCATCAACCAAGTGAGCGAGTCTGACCTCCCTGTTCCCGTTAGTCGCCTCTTACGACAAGCATTGCTGAAGGCTTTGAACCGGATCTTGACTGGAGCTGAATAACGGGACCGAATTAACGAGGCTACACTGCATATACAGCCGCTGTTGTGTTTGACCTTCGTCGGAGTATAACAGTACTTTTACATGCTGAGTTTGTATTTTCATCTGTGTATCGAAAGGGGCTATTCTGAGTCTGTTATTTCCGACTCTCAAAGCCCGCCAGTGTCAACACCCATTACTGCCAATCTTCAAGCGACTTATAAACCACGTGTGAGGATATCCTGATATATGCTTAATCTAAGGTGGCCACTGAGTCGGTACCGCCAAACCGCCAACATCCCATGCCAGACATGGAACGACAAAGAAAGGAAACGATGTGCATCTGGTTAAAAGAAATAAAACGCCTTTTCACAAATATCATTGTTCTTACAATTAAAATTGATTTCTGGAAAACATATATCATGCCTTAGATCTTAATGATAAGCGTATCTTTTTCTTCAAACGGGATTTAATGACAGTCTGGAAGGTGTTGATGCGGGACGTCACGGGTTCTACTAGATTGGGACAAAATACATTCATTTCAAAAGATACTGGAAGACAGCAAATATTTCAGACGTCCAAGTGGTTCAAATGAACAGTGAAAGACGTTGACCCTTATCACGCGCGGTGAGGTGATGTCATTGAACTGCCAATCCCGGGTTAGTGAGTCAGTGAGTGAATTAGATTTAAAGATGCTTTGAAAAGTATTTCAGTTGAAGTAGCATGAAAATTCTAAATGATGACGTTACATTCATTTTTTTTATGTTTACGATTGGTTTGTATGTTGTTTAACGCCTCAAGCAACAACCAAGTCAGCGAGTCTGTCCACCAGATACCGTTAATCGTCTCTTACGACAAACATAGTCGCCTTATACGGCAAGCATGGGTTGCTGAAGACCAATTCTACCCCGGGTCTTCACGGGTCTCTTATTTTATAGAGAAAGCTAGTATCAGGATACGACTCACATATTAAGTGTAAATGTTAATGTTAAATGCAGTGTGGTTTTGGCAAATTGATCATAAACACTAACTGACTCGACACTAGAAACAATTAACGATGTATTCGACATATAAATATATACAAAACCATGACAGTTGCGTCTTCATAGTATTTAAACACACACTGTGTCAACTGTAACACGTGCCTATACCTTGAACGCCTTGGCATGTACAGAGACATATTATGTATGTTCTCGCCGTACACTGTCGGTATGAGTGAGTGAGTGAGTGAGTTGGGTTTAACGCCGCTTTTAACAGTATTCCAGTTATATCACGGTGTGTCAGCTTAATGTGGGAGGAAAGCCCGAAGTGATGCAGGTCTAAGACGTTTACCACTTCGGTGAAACCCACGAGCACGGGTATGGTGCTGACAAACCTAGAAACATAAATGGGTCGAACCGGGATTCGAACCCACAATCATAGGTTTCTGGCGTGCCCAAGGGACGCAACTCTACACAGCGAATCGTGGCGCCTCAGACGACTGGGCCACCCGTGCCCCCCTGTCGGTATGAAGGGTTGCTCATTGCATCAATCACTGGTTTGTCTGATCCAAACTTGAAGAATATAAATCCGTCGCGATAAAACTGTTCATGATTGTGGAATAAAACAAGATTGTAACCATCCGGTCTTTTAAGTCGATTTTTACATCATGGTGCACAGGGACCCATTCTACCCTAGAATCAACGTTCAAGGAGAAATCTTCCTTTAAGAAAACCATTGGATAAACTTATTTATTCATATCTCAATTCGTTATCTTTTCCGAATTACAATTACGAGTTTACGAAAACACTCGCGGTGTTTGTATCTATAGTCGTGAACCTGCACCTTAGATATTGGCGTCTTAATAATCTTCACCGCCAAAAACCTGCGTGACGTCACATACGCGACGGATAAGAGAGGCAAGTACATTTCTTATCGTTCTTACAAAATGAAAGTTCTTTCATCATGCTATGTCAACCCCCATAGTAGTTGACGGACGTTAACCTCACTTTGAAATACGATATGTGCTCTATGAATATTTGATAATATATTACAATATTATTATTTTCGGGAGTTTCCGTTAAATTACACTTTACGCGAAACAGCAAGATATTTTCTGGAGTTTTTTTCTGATCTTAAACTTTGATTTTAATTTGGGTTTGATACTTTAAAAAGGGTTTACGAAAAGCAATTGTGTCTACAAAATCAAATGTTTAAATAACATGGTAATACTAACAACCACCCACATTGAAATCTTAATAAAACGTGAGCTTCAAAAATATCTCTATATTGACTCTAAAATATACAAAAATTAAAAAAAATGACTAATTTATCAAAATGTTGTTTCTAAAAAGTTATTATGTCGCAGATTTTAGCAATAAACACGACAGGAGACACCAGAAATGGGAACGATATATTGGACACATGTAAAGAGTAGAACCTGTTTTGGCGTGACACATCGATAGTACAACGTGCACAAGCATTAAATAACGGCAAAAATATTTGATAATAACAAAAAAAGGTCATCGTGAAAAGTCCTCCATTGCTGATCTGGACTCGCGCGAAAACAGTCTGTGTCCCTTTTCCCAGTTTCAATTTGACTTTGCTATTTCAGGCTAAACCTATCAGATTGTATTTAATGTGTTTTGTTTCTTGTCGAATTCCGCAGCTCTCAATAATCGCTTGTCAACCAAAACGTAAACCTCTCTGGATGATAAGCTTAGCACGTTTTTTCACCGTAAGCGCATGTCAAAGAGTCACGTGACAGAATTGATCGCGCTGCTCGTGCAGGTGGGGGAAGAGATGTCACTTATTCACAGAGACAAATCCCGCTATTTCGGTATCGACGTTGTCCCCAAGTCAGAAGGTTGAACACTTATAGGCTGAATTCCCTTTGAGATAGTTTTACGATTTTCTGTTGACGAAGCGTTTGAAAACTTTAGCTTAAAATTTCAAATCTAAATGAAATAATCTTAAACTCGACCTGAGACACGGAACGTATGAAGGCGTATTCTCTTAAGTGTAATACAAAGTAATATTTACATGTGACTCAAGATATGATCTGCGGTAAGTAAGTATGTTATTAGGATCGTTTTCTATACAATTAAGGTTTCATATTCAAAATTTAATTTAATATTTATTTTAGAAAATATATTAACGCTTATCAAATAAGCTTAAAAATTGTTTACAGATCATTTTGCCTTATGGCATAAATGTATATGCATACAAATAATGACATACATAGATGCAGTGTCAATGTCCATCAAACACTAAAACTCCACAACACTCATTAAAAAAAGAGAGTGTTTAAAACAGACAGCTTATTATCAGTTACAGCTGATAAATGAAACCATTCACAAAATATTAAAAAACAGGTCGGCAAATTTTCCTTCCTAAAGAAACCGATTCATGACAAAAACAGAAAAATACTTTAACATCAAAGTAGAATTAAGCCATTCATATCACTGTTTATATAATCTCTAATATTATATATAAATGTTTAACTGTACTTTAAAAGTAAATGATTATAGATCTACTTACAGCGATGACAGATGTCCAAGGTACAGATGGGATACAGCAGCTCTCCGCCTTACAACAACCATACACACTGCTTCCAACTTCAGATTTCCACAAATTCCCTCTGTGTCCTTTAACAAGCCGCTTTCAACTTACATCATCAAATTAAAACCAACTTTCCATTCCGACACGACGATTCAGAATTTCCCTCTTGAAGTCTGACGCAACAAACTATGTCTTTCCCAACTGCCCGTCATCAAGTGTTTCCCCAACCTAAAGCCGAGCTCTGTTTTCGTAATAAAAATTACGTTTCGATTTGCTGGCCTGCCTCCAATTCCTGCCGACAAGCTGTGGCTATCCAGGGAGAGCTAGTCAAAGAGAACTCTTTCGTTTGGAAGGCCGGGAATATGTCCGTATTTTCCCGTCCTCGCCCGAGCGCTTCAGACCAGATTGTCAAACACGGCCAGTCGCTGTGTTTCTTGCTACTGTTTGGCGCGCCGATCAGCAAATACTCCCGACGCTTGCACTGATTATTTTATCCCTTGACAGGAGTTTCGAGGCGATTCTTGAAATAATTTTAAAACAATGATCGTCTTGTGATTGGGAAAATTGGTTTGTAAACGGTCAATACCAGAAAGTGCTTTCAGGTAGTTAAATGGAAGTTTTTCTATAAGAATCTCCTGCCGGGAATGCTGCCTTGCGCATCAGAGATGGGTCTGAGAAATCGGAACGCACTGCAGTCGATTGTATCCGCCCTGGGGGTACCGTGTCAACAGCCCGGCCCTCGGGATTCGATAAACAAACAGATGATAGTTTTCTCGTAAGCTAGCGCAAAGGCTTTCATCTACGCCTCACTGTACCGCTTCCCTTCCCGATTAAACGTTACCCCTATGGATCGGGATAAGTGATAGTGTGCAACCGTACCCGCCCACCTGCCTCACCCCAGGAGCCAGGTCACGTGATACCACCTGTCCGCGCATGACAAAGGTGAAATCCATTAATTACTTCAATATCAAACACGGTTTTGAAGGCTCCGTACAAGCGAACCGCCTTACAATGCCTTCGATGACCAGTATTATAACTGACCACTCTGTTATCTAAATCCGACTGACCGGTGCAGATCACATGACCGGGCACGCGCCGTAACAATAATTATTACTCTTCAAACTTGAAGGGGCGATTTGACGACGGCCATCTTGGCCTTTTCATTAACGAGCGTGGAAAAGAAGGGTTTGAAGACGTCAATTCAGAACGACATTTATGACCATTATAACCTCGGGTTTACCCCCGGCTTGTGTGGGAGTGGACCGTGGTCAGTCGGTGTTTGACCAGTTGGCTTTAGCCAAACAATTGTCAAGAAACCAGTAGTTAAAAGTCAATTATCAACCCCCCTCAAACCCCCATGATGATAACACTTATCACCAAACAGCTATCGACGCGTTTTTCAGGCATCTGGCCCGTTTTAATGGTTCACAATTTAATATCTCTGAATGAAATGGCAATTCATCATCCCGCCAATAGAAACCTAAATCACATGTATACAAGTGGTGATTACTTTGCGGCTTTGTTTTGAAACGGCTGCTGAAACAAATCCATAAACCGGTTCGAGCAGGTCTTTTCACATCTTTGACCGAAGCTGAATAACGAAATATATATTTGTAATACTTTTAATTTAAAACTATGGTGCTTTTGATTTAAGGCCAAAGAAATTAAATTATTTTACTCTGTTTATAAACAAAGTCTATTTTTATTTAATTTGTAAGTCAACCAATATTAACTCGCCCCGTTTAAAAATATCGAATTTAACGAAAATTGTACTTCTATTAAGCTAAGGGACTGTCACCTTGTTTGGGGAGGGAGGGATTAGGGGTTGTGAGATTGGTCTCAGGACTGTCTCATATTTTGACACCACCCCCCAACCCCCACTCCCCTTTTTTGGTAACATTTTCTTATTTTACATTCCCCCACCCCTCCCCCAATACACGTGACATGTTTTTTCATGACATTCCTTCCCTATAACAAATGGCCAGTCCCTAAATAATGTTTAAATTTGTAAAGTAATTGTTTTTGAAAAACAATACATTTGATTTTTTTCATGGCCATCCCACGCATAAATTTAAGACCCCCGTCCTTCTGTGAGTCATTTTTTATGGTCCCCGTCCCCCGTAATAAATTACCAGTCCCTAAAAAGAGATTTCCAATTGCTGATACATTGACGATGTGACATACCATTTACCCCAATGACGACAATCTTTGCCCCAAATTAGCTTTTTGTTTTTAGTGATCGTGTTATTTGTTTACATGTGTAAATGCGAAATATGGCGGCATATTTAATTTAATGCATCCGTAAAAGGATGTGTCATGTTGTGGACGTTGACTTATGGTCATCAGATTGTGGACTGACATTTTTGTAATAATGAAAAGTCGACAGTCTGTGTGATTTCACAATATTTACTTCACAGGCGAGGCCGGGTTGGCGTTTATGTACTGGAATACCCAGACTGGGACATGTCGCTGATGTTGTCAATATAGATTCTAAAATTTTGATATTTATCCCAAAAAATATTTCATCCCTGTAGATGTTACAAATATCTGATGATCGATAAGGCGTGAGTGCAAGGGCGCGGAACAGTACGCTGATTGTCCATACACGCGTATAGTGTTCTTTGGTGAATTGATTTTGTTAAATAGTAACCCATTCCTCCAAAGTTTTATCATTATTGAGAGAAACTGTTTGAACAATCGCGTAAAAAACACTTTCCTAAAACATCAAACTCACAACAAATTACTACTTCAAACAAACTTATGATGCCTTTCAAGTTAATGTTTTTGTGCTGTAATACCACGGCTAATATTATTAACAGAATTTTAAAAAAGTGATCATTTTTATCAAAAATATCCCCGACATTAAAGGGTAAGGAATATCTCTCAACTTAATGACCTCAAACAATCCGATTTATGTGATGCTCTGAAGTGCGCCATCTTGAAACGGCGCCTGGCAGTCTCTGAAGGTTTTACTACTGTATTTAGCTGTGCTAATCCCGCGACGTCGTCGTGACGTTGTCGACGTAGCTGTCAATGGTTGTTCTCCAGGGTGGAGGCACATATATCACTTTGAGGTGACAGGTGGATTTTACGGCAGGGTTAAGAAAAGGTTTAAATTGGTTTAGTGTGTCAACTGCATGGATAAACGTGTTGTACCAAACTTTGTACTGTTCCGTGATACACGATAAACTTTGCCTTGTTCCACTTGTAGGTGGTGATTCCCCGCTTTGTACATTGTTTTACATCCATTTTTTGTGTCCCTGTGGTGCTATTTCTGGTGTACTGCTAAAAACGGCGTCAAACCAACTTGTAGGTGACGTTTTAGTTGGTTGGCTTGTTGTTTTACGCCGCACTCAGCAATATTCCAGCTATATGACGGCGGTCTGTAAATAGTCGAGTCTGGACCAGACAATCCAGTGATTGATATCATGAGCTTCGATCCACACAATTGGGAGCGATGACAAGGTGACATGTAAATAGCTTACACGGGTATCATATAGCACTTCGGACCTTAAGTTTGCAGTGTTTCGGTGACTGTTTTCAGCCTAGTAACGTTGTAATAACGTTTCTAATTTTTTGGTCAAATCCAATTTTATAGTGTATGCTTTCTTTTGTAATTGTAGGGCATTGTGTCTAAATGGCGATGTGCTTTCTCTCGTTCTGATATTGCTGGAATCTTGCAAGAAGCGGCGTAAAACCATACTCACTCACTCACTCTAAATGACGAAATGTACGATATAAAAGTGTGCAGAGTTGATTAAACACGAGTTGCTAAAAGTGGCAAAAAAATTGTTTCCACTTTTATCAACGAGCGTTTGATATCAAAAGACACGAGGGTGAAAATCTATTTATCATCCAATTTCATACCTAAATCGAAATACGTGAAAAAAAATCAGCGATTTATAAAAGCGATATCTTCAATGTAGATATCGCTTGATCTCATCCAAGCGATATCTCCCGCGGGAGCAAATTTTGGTTGATAAATAAACAGTGACGTGACAATGTGTACGATATGTATACAGTGGCGTGACGATATGTATAGTAACGTGACAATATGTGCCATATGTATACAGTGACGTGACAATATGTACGATATGTAAACAGTCACGTGACAATATGTACGAAATGTATACGGTGACGTGACGACATGTATACAGTGACGTGACAACATGTACGATATGTATACCGTGACGTGACAATAAGTACGGTATGTATACAGTGACGTGACAATATGTACGATATGTATACAGTGACGTGACAACATGTACGATATGTATACCGTAACGTGACAACATGTACGGTATGTATACAGTGACGTGACAATGTGTATGATATGTATACAGTGACGTGACAACATGTACGGTATGTATACAGTGACGTGACAATAAGTACGGTATGTATACAGTGACGTGACAACATGTACGATATGTATACAGTGACGTGACAACATGTACGATATGTATACAGTGACGTGACAAGAAGTACGATATGTATACCGTGACGTGACACTATGTACATATGTATACCGTGACGTGACACTATGTACGATATGTATACCGTGACGTGACAATAAGTACGGTATGTATACAGTGACGTGACATTATGTACGATATTATACAGTGATGTGGCAATATGTACGATATTATACAGTGACATGGCGATATGTACGATATTAAACAGTGACGTGGCAATATGTACGATATTATACTGTGACATGGCAATATGTACGATATTAAACAGTGACATGGCAATATGTACGATATTAAACAGTGACGTGGCAATATGTACGATATTATACAGTGACGTGGCAATATGTACGATATTATACAGTGACATGGCAATATGTACGATATTAAACAGTGACGTGGCAATATGTACGATATTATACAGTGACGTGGCAATATGTACGATATTATACAGTGACATGGCAATATGTAGGATATTAAACAGTGACATGGCAATATGTACGATATTAAACAGTGACGTGGCAATATGTACGATATTATACAGTGACGTGGCAATATGTACGATATTATACAGTGACGTGGCAATATGTACGATATTATACAGTGACGTGGCAATATGTACGATATTAAACAGTGACGTGGCAATATGTACGATATTATACAGTGACGTGGCAATATGTACGATATTATACAGTGACGTGGCAATATGTACGATATTATACAGTGACGTGGCAATATGTACGATATTATACAGTGACGTGGCAATATGTACGATATTATACAGTGACGTGGCAATATGTACGATATTATACAGTGACGTGGCAATATGTACGATATTATACAGTGACGTGGCAATATGTACGATATTATACAGTGACGTGGCAATATGTACGATATTATACAGTGACGTGGCAATATGTACGATATTATACAGTGACGTGGCAATATGTACGATATTATACAGTGACGTGGCAATATGTACGATATTATACAGTGACGTGGCAATATGTACGATATTATACAGTGACGTGGCAATATATGGTGTATGACGGTGTACTATGTAGGACGTGTATGTCTTGTGTGCTGCTAAGTGATCAACACACCCGACTGACCCGCTGGTGCAAAGTTCCGATCTGAGACAAGCAGCATCAATCTCTTATATCCATCACAGTTGTTAACTTCATCACCTGACCGAAAAGTCAATC